TAGTCCGATATCTTTGAGATGTCCTTACCATTTGAACTCCTTGAAGATAATTTTTCTTGACTTTTATCGAGAGTATTCTTAGGTAACTTTTGTTACCTAAGATGTAATTAACTATAGGGGCTTGCCCTTATAGGAAGCTTTTCCCCAACCCAGCATAATATAAACCCTATTTAATTCCTTATATTAAATAGGGGAACTTGTCGGCCAATACATTGGTTTCGCAGACCAAACGGATGTCATAACTTTCTTTAGTTTATTTGATCGAGCCTCACTCTCAATTCTTGCGTTCATCCTTCGGGATAGATACATGATTTGAGATAAAGTGCTCTTTCATCTAAACTATGAAAATTATGGGGTCAGTTTGACTTCATCTTTTTCAAAACTAAATTTTTTAAAACGTCCTTCTCGAAGCGGGCAACGGGATTTCAATTTCGATGACCGACAACTTCTTACGGGCAAACCCCACACCAAAAATAGTGCCGACAGATGTCATATATTTCTTAGTTTATTTGTTTGAGCCTCAGTATCATGGTATGTGTTTATCTTTCAGGATAGATACATAGCTTGAGGTGTAGTGCTATTTCATTTAAACTAAGAATGCTATGGAATCATTTTAATTTCATTTTTTTCTAAACTTAAATACACACACACACACAAACAGATAATTATATCTATAAAAAACATGGTGCTGGCGGCTGACCCTAGAGTTGCTCTGCTAGGGTTTGGGAAGTGATGGCCCTGGTTGGAGAGGTTGTGGAGCTGTGGGCAGAAGCTTGTTCTCTCTTTAAGAAGTTGTTTGACATTACTAGCTTTCGGGCTTTGCTGGAGTTTTCCTGGTTCTTAGTTGCTGAGCAAGCTTGGGAGTTTCTTTTTCTTGTTTTGTTACTGTTCCATTGCTGTAGAGCTTCTTCATTTCTTCTCTTATCTAATTGTTTGAGCACCATGTGGGGTGCTGCTGCTGGGGTATTATGGCCACCCTTATTGATTTAGAGACTAACTTGCAATGGACAAGAGCAACCTATGCTGGGGCTGTTGGGAAACCTTCTTCCAGTTTGGTGGATCCTGATAAGTTAGTGTTCCCACAGGATTTTCATAATACTGCTGCTGGAAGGGGTTCTGCCTCATGCATCCATCCTGTGGGCTCAAAAGATGGAGAACTAGCTGCTGTCTTCTCAGAAAAGGACCTTGTAGAACTGAACCTGGAAGTTCAATTCACACTAATTGGAAAATTTAGCCTGGCTCACCCAAAAATGGATTCTGTGAGAAAATACTTTGAATATCTGAATATAGCAGACTGGAAGCTCGGATTATTGGATGGCAGACACCTCCTTATCCAGTTGACAAAGGAAGAAGACTATGCAAGAATATTTGCCAAACAATCAATAATTATTGCTGGAGCTGAAATGAAAATTTTAAAATGGACCCTAGAGTATGACCCTTCTCAGGAGCCCCCTACAGTGCCAATTTGATTTAAGCTACCAAAACTGCCTTTGCATCTCTTCAAATTAATTGCTTTATTCAATATTGGCTGCACCTTAGGCACACAATTGAAAATGGATGCTTCTACATATAATAAAGCAAGGCCAACAATTGTCAGAATTATTGTGGAAAGGGATGTTACCCTTCCTGAAGTTAAGAGGATTTGGATTGGAGACTCCTTGATGGGATTTTGGTAGGAAGTAGTCATGGAGTAAAGGCCCTATCACTGTCAGCATTGTAAAATGTTTGGCCATACTAGGGAGAAATGCTATAGGATAAATCCACCTAATAGAAGACAAACAACTCACACACAGCTGGAACCCAGCACTGAAAACACTCACCTACTGATTGATAGCAGCAAAGAAGCTTACCAATAAAACTTCATTGTGGCTAGGATAGCAGACACAAACAATCCAACTATTAATCAAATTACTCCCCAGGCTCAGCAAGTGGTGACCCCTTTAGCTAAGAAGGGGGAAATAGTTGGAGAGATTTTAGAGACAGGCAGAACTAAGAATGGGAACATTTCAGTGCAAGTCATTTTAAGGGATCCCATAGAGTCTTTTAAGGATACAAGTGAGCATGTGGCTAGAGAGGAGGAGGCCTCCCCTACTGATGTTGTACTCTCTTAACTAAACAAAGAATTGGAATCAGAATGGCAGATCCAAAAAACAAGGAAGAAAAGCAGCTCCAAACAAGAAGACTTGAAAAAGGGAAAGGAAAAGGAGTTAGCTATAAATGAAGACCATAACATCCAAAGGAGACGAAGCAAACTAAGGGGAAGGACTAGATCTAGATCCCAACCCTCCACCTTTCCTCCCTCCCCATCATCAATATGCTATGTTGGAACATAAGGGGGATTGCTCACCCCTTATCTTAAAAAGATTAAAATACCTTAACAAAAAAAAAAAAAATTTTGGTGCTTAGCCATTTTGGAACCTATGGTTCATATTAACACTAAGAAAATAGCTAAAGTGTTCCCTGGCTTCAATCTTTTCACTAACCTTAATAACAAAATTTGGGTTTATTGCTGGAAAGAAATGAAGTGCTCTATCTTAGTTAACCATCAGCAAATTCTGCATATGAACATTAGTACTGAAGGAATGGATGGTTTTGCTTCTTTTTTTTATGCAGGAAGCTCCAAAATAGCTAGAATTGATCTGTGGGAGACCCTTCAGAACATTCAAGGCTCTATTGATAAAGCATGGATTGTGGGAGGTGGCTTCGATTGCATTTCCTCTCCTGCTGGGAGGGGGGGCAGAACGCCCAATCCTGCCACTATATCCAATTTCAATGATAACATCTAGAAAACTGGTCTGTTTGACCTGGGATTTAGTGGACCTGCCTTCACCTGGTGAAGGAAGAATATGTAGGAAAGACTGGATAGAGTCTTAGCCAATGACCACTGGATCCAAAAATTTTTGCAAACTACTATAACTCATTTAAGACTTACTGGATCTGATCACATGCCTTTGGTGATCACCATTGGCCCAAAGAGCAACTGTCAGAAGAGTGCTTTTAGATACCTGAATGTTTGGTCACAACACAAGGATTTCTTGCAAGTTGTTAAAGATAATTGGAAGAATGAGTCACACCCTGACCCCTTCATCAGCTTGTGGCAAAAGCAAAAAAAGGTAGGTAATGATCTCAAAAAGTGGAGTTGGACTACTTTTAGGGATTGGTGAATGCAGTGGATAAGGCTGGAAAGGAGTTACAGGATATGGAGGAGGAGCACAACAAAGGAAATACTGATGATACTGCTCCTTTAGAGGCCAATGAGAAAGTATTGCCTGCTGTAAATTGGCAAGACCATTTCCTTAAAAAAAATGCCAAAACTAAATTCACTGAAGGGGATAGAAACACAAAATTTTATCATGCTTGCATTAATTACCTAATTACCAGAGAAAGTGCAACACTATTCATGGTATTAAAGATTAGAATGGAACTTGGCTCAGGAAGGAGGAGGAGATTACTGAAAGTGTTGTGTTATACTGCCAAAACCTCAACCTCATGACTGCCAAAACCTCATGAATGATAATAATAATGATAGAGGCCACATAGATAAACATTTGCTTTCTGAAAGAAAACAATGCACTGCCAATTTAAAGGTGACAGAAATACCTAAAGAGGAGGAGATTCAAAGAGCTTTGCAGTCCATTGATAATAGTAAAACAGCTGGTCCTGATGGTTTTATTGTAGACTTCTACAAAAAAGCATGGGGGGAAATTAAGGTTGAGGTTATTCAAGCTATTCAACATTTTTTTAAAGGTCACTCTCTCCCTAACTATTTCGGTGCTTCCTCAATTGTTTTCATTCCTAAGACTTCTATTAAAAACTACTGGAGCCAGTTCAGAACTCCGAGCCTTACCAATGTAATCAGCAAAATTATCAGTAAAATTCTGGTGAGCAGACTTCAACCAGTTCTATCTCAGCTAATTCACACTAATCAAGCATCTTTAGTGAAAGGGAGAAGTATAGGGGACCAAATTTTATTAGCTCAAGAATTATTACAAGACTTGGAGGGACCCTTTAGAGGAAGAAATGTGATCTATAAACTGGATTTGAAGAAAGTTTATGATATGGTGAACTGGGATTTTATTATGGAATGTTTGGAGGCTAGAGGATTCTCTGTGGAGTTCTGCCAGACCCTTAAAAGATGGCTACAGGCCAATGCCAATTCTGTTTTCATAAATGGGAAAGCACATGGTTTTTTCAAAGAAACTAGAGGACTTAAACAAGGAGACCTTCTTTCCGCAACTATTTTTATTCTGGTCTTAGATTATCTATCAAGACACATTGATGGCTAGGAGAAAAAGAAAATTTTCAATGTCTATCATAACAGAGCTAAGATGGATATCAGTCACCTTATTTATGCTGATGATATTCTCATTTTCACAAGGGCAACCAAGGCTGCAACTAGATACCTTGATGAGTGCTTGAACAAATTTCAACAGGTATCTGGGCTGAAAGTTAATAAAGAAAAGTTTCAGATCCTTGCAAGCAAGAGAGTTCCTATTTCAATTAGGCAGTGGATGTCAAACTTCATTGGTTTTTCCTCCATGAGCATTCCTTTTAAATTCCTGGGCACCCAAATTGTTAGAGGTAGAATCAAACAGACCCAGTTTGATGAGGTTATAGACAAAATGAATTCTACCCTTCAGGGGTGGTCAAACTCTTACTTATCTAATGGTGGAAGGATCACCCTTCTTAAGAGCATCCTCACATCTATCCCCTTCTATACCCTCCAAGTGGCTAACATGAAAAGAAGCACCACTTTGATGCTGGAGAGAACTTTTAATAGATTTCTTTGGGCTGGCAATAGGAAACAAATGATTTGGGCTAGTTGGAAAAGAGTGGCAAAACCTTATGAAACTGGAGGTTTGGGTTTTAAAGGCCTACATCACATGCAACAAATCAGCATTTGTAAACTGTGGATCAGATTTAGACAAAATGAAAGCCTTTGGGCAAACTACATGATGGCTAAATACTGTAAAATGATCACCCTGGAGAAGTTACTAAGAAAGTTGGAGACTCCAAGATTTGGACCCAGATGCTCAAGGGAAGGGAGGAGATTGATAAATTACTTATTTGGGAGCTGGGACATGGAGAGATCAACTTCTGGAAGGACAAATGGTGCCCTTCTAATCAATTGGAGCGATTGCAGAATGAAAAAGAAGAGGATTTGCTTGTTAAAGACTGTTGGAATGGAAATGAGTGGTTTGAGGATGCCTTGAACAAGATTCTGAAAGATTCAGCTGCTAGAAGTATTTCTAAAATCTAGCTTGACAGAAATAAAAAAGACCAGATTCAACTCATTAAAAGGACCAGATCCAGCATTTCAAAGGACATCCAGAATAGCCTTATCAGATGGGAAGAATTCCAGTGGAATATTAGCATTTGCCAAAAATTCTTTACTCCTTCTATGTTGTTTTTTTCTTGGAGAGAGCTAAATAACTTAATTCCAACTGATGACATTTTGAACCTGAAAGGATTGAAAGCCCCCTCAAGATGTCACCTCTGCAGTAATAATCAAGAATCCAGTGATCATCTCTTCTTCAGATGCAAATTTGCTAGGGAGGTTTGGAAAAAGTTGAACTCTAACATTAACCTGAACCTGATGAATGTGGGCTAGGGTAACTTAAAAGACAGTTTAAAAGACTAGCAAGCAATTAATCTAATGTCCCTTCCCTTCATTGTTGCATGGTTTCTTTGGAATACTAGGAACAAGGTGAAGCATGAGGACATTGTTACTACTACTGATTCTGTGGTGGCTAACTGTCTGGCCTACTTACATAAGCTGGTTAATTGGAAGAAGTTCCCTAAGATTATGAAGGATATGTCCAATTTTGAACTCAAACACCCTAAGGTTATTAAGGTTAGATGGGAGAGGCCTCCTCATCCATTCATTAAAATAAACACTGGTGGAAGCTTCACCAACAAGAAATCTGGTATTGGAGGTATCTTCAGAGATCACACTGGTAAAGTTTTGCTTTATTTCAAGGCCCCCTACATTGTTGAAGATCCGCTGGAAATAGAAGCTACTGCTCTTTACTAGGCCTTTAAATTTGCTACGGAAGTTAAGTGGAATTGTATTATTGTTTGTTTTTCCTCTTTAGTAGCCTAGGGTCTAGCCATAGGGATTTTCCTGTTGACTATTCCCAGAAAACTAGAAATTCCAAACTCTTCTCTACTAAACTTGAATCTGGACCTTAGAGTTAACCCTGGGTGTTGGTCTAGAGCTGAGGCACTCACTACACTCATCTACACTCAGAATCACTCACAACCGTAAACTCAAATTTCTAACCTAGGTCCCTTGATATTTTTGGGATACTCATGTAGATTGTCCCCTAACCCTACCAGCTCTAGGGCTATGGGTTGACTAAAACCAGTACATAGAGGACACAAAATAGGGTTTCCATTGGTCCATGACTTATTTATGGTGGTTGGTACTACAACTCTACTAAGATACCCAACCTAGCCTTTTGCCTCTAAACACCTCCAAATTACAAAAATACCCCTCCATAGCCCAAAATTTCAAAAGTTCCAAAGATCTGCTGAAAATCTCAATAAATCTCAAATTTTCCCAATTTCATTCTTCTCAACTTCCACATGACCAATTTTGGTCAATTTGACTATCTTTAACCAAAACCCCCAAACTTGCCTTTAAGGGCCCAAATTTCCCCATATTCAACTCAAATGTCCATCAATTTGATCTCAATTGATCCCAATTACAATCCTAAACTCAAATTCACTTTTGATATGGCCCAACAAAAGCAAATCCAAGCTTAATTGGCTCAAGATTTGAGCCCAATTTTGATTTAGATCAGGTTACAACCCCAAATTTGGCCACATAACTTAATCTCACCAAATTGAACCCATAACCTAGTCAATTGGCCCCAATTAATATTGAAAAATCTTGATAACGTTCATATACATCAAAATCAACCATCAATTTACCTTGTTGAAGCCTTAAATCCATTTGATTTTATCCTAAATCACTTCAACCCTTCACCAAAAATCTTCATAACAATCATCTACACAATTTTGATCAATCAATTGGGTCAATTGACATGGGTAACCTAGCCCAAACCCAAGTCTTGGTCATTTGCACCCACTTGGACCCATGCACTAAATGTTACCTAACCACCCTAATGTCACCAAATTAACTCCATCACAACCATTAGTTGGACTTAGTGACAAGTCCAAAAACCATGAAACCACCTAAATCAAGACATGGACCAAAGGTCCCCAAAATTAAGGGATATTATTTCCAAAAATGAACATGCTTAAAATATCTTTGTCAAGTCAAAGAACATTTGCATTAAATTGTTGTGATGGATTCGTCTGGGTTCCCTGAGCTCCTAGCCACCTCCCCGTGGCCGGTCGGCCTGCCTAGTGGCCGGAAAAGCTCAAAACTGAGAGCCACCCCCATGGAACCTCACCAAAATCAAACCTAAAGGCCAGCTCATCCAAATCAAACTGAAGAGCTCCTCTGCCCTCCACCTAAGCACCACAATGCACCCAAACTTCTGCCCTGAGATCCACCCTATGGCCAGTTTTATAAAAACTCACCTCCACGGCCATGGGAAGGGTGCAAAATTTTTCTCAAAGAGAGCCTCCCAAATCACTCACAGAGCTTCCTTAAGATCTCCATAGCCCATTCCAGTCACTCCACTTTCTTGATTCCCCCTATACAACCCTAATTTTGAGCTTAAAAATTAGGGCATAAACATGACACCTCTCAAAACTCCACCAAACTTCAATTGCTTGTGCCCACACTTTCACAACAACAAGAGAAAACAAATAGTTGAAATAGCCTCCACCATAGCTCTAGACCAACATGAGAAATCGAGCTTGGTAGAATTCATCGAGCTTGGTAGAATTCATACTTAGGCCTTACACCAAGACCAGGTACTCAATCTGTAGCCTCCTTGGACCCCAACGAATGTGTCGAACCCCTCTGATCAAGGCTTCACTTCTGAGAGCAAGGGTATAAAACCTCACCTCATCCTGAGCCTATTTCAATTCTCCATTTAATTAGACTTAATTTAATTGCATGATTACCATATGGATATGTTCGTCTCACTTAGACGAGTCCATAAGATCAAACCCGATGTGATTTGGTTGAGTCTAGGTTGAGATATTAGGGTTTTAGTATAGACGGTCACGGGATCATTCGACAATGAAGGGGAGCCGTTCGATCGAGCGTGTATTAAATGGATGGAGGAGATCAAGCCGGGCGACGCTTCGGGACATAAACAGCGGGCCAAGTTAGCGGCTACGTGGACGGCGACGTCCAACCAGAGCGCGCCACGCAAGCCTTCAAAGTTGCCTAGGATCTAGTCAGCATCTCGCGGTTAAATAGAAAAATAGGGATTTTCTT